GGCCCTGGTAATGTGAAGCAGGTGTACATTTCAATTTGGACAGGGGTTTCTTGATATGTTGCCAGTAATCTGTTTGCCTCTGCGACTCTCTTTTACACAGATATTAATGAAGACCTCTTCTATCTCGTAATCTAATCTACCATGAAGTGCAAGATATAATACTGGCAGAGTTAATCTGAGAACTGAACCACATCTGTTAGTGTCAGGCATATCACATCAAAGAAAGGTCATCATAATATTTAAAATTGAGGATGTAATGCATCAACCCTTACTGGCATGGGCGTATACAGATATCATAATACCTTTGAAAATGTGCTTTATTGCATTTCTGAGATGGGGAATTGCTGAGTTATTGTGTTTTGCACTTGGGCAATGAGTCAACAAACAATGATATTGGTCACTCACGTTTAATTAAATCCATGTCTAATTTTCATAATGAAATAGATGTGTAGCAGTGTGTGATCTACCTGTTGTGTTGTGCATTATACAGTGATGTGTGCAACTTGTATACCCTGTAATATTGTTGCCGCTAAATTCTATGGAAATTGTGTGCTAAAATGGGGATGGGAAATGTTTTAATCGGAAATTGTTGTCAGGTGGAACATCTGGACGTGATGTAGGAGAATCTGAAAAACATAACAGTTTAAAAAGAGTGAGCTAATTCAGCGAGACCACCCATTTTTTAATAGACTTTTGGAGGACTGAACGGATAGTGCATATTGCTGTGAATACTATGTTTTTTTCATTTACAGGCCCTATTCCAGGCCCATGGCAGGTCAGATTATGACTCAGACTCATTAAATGGCAATATGCTCATTATGGAAATTTCTAAAAACCTGATCTGTCAATTATATCTTTGAAGTAGTGGTCGCTAATCTTTAGCACTCGATTTGTTGCCTATATTTCCATCATGGGAAAGGCTGGCTGATCATTACAGAAAATTTAGTTTACAAAACCTCAAATAGAAACTGTTAGCCATCACTACCCTAGAAAAATACGAGAGTCTAGTTAAAAAATGAAGCTCTAGAATTTGTATTCCTTTGACTGTGAGCAGTAGGTAAACATCAATGATAATTCCTCTCCTTAAATGAATTCTACACGCACCATATGTTGGGCAACGTCCTTGCATAATCTGCAAAACTGCTTTCACATAGTTGGACACTTACCTGGATCCAGTAAGGGTGGCTGTGCTGCTTCCCATCTTCTCAGAGATGGAATTACTGGGTGTCAGTTTTGTCCAGTAGACAAACTCGTTTGACTTATTCATTGGCTGCATCTATTCATATGACGCTCTCAGCTGAATGAATGAACATCTCATTAGAAACGGACTTCACCTTCTTGAGAAGACCATATGAGCATGCGTACCCGATGGGAACCTGGTAAATGTTGAATTGTGCTAGGACAGCGTCTGGGCACATCTGCCATCATAGCCAATAGTACTTGCAGTGATCCTTTAAAGGGCATTGTTTGAAATTTTACCTACGTCTATAGCTGGCATACGTCCATACAAAAAAAAAAGAGGGCACGCTGGGCTTGCATAACTTCACATAATGTAGAGTTGATCTTTGATCATTCACAGAATAGGTCATATTACATTTGCACTCTGATATTTGTGCATAAGGACACTATACAAGCAGAGTTTCAAAATTTACAAAAAGTTACTTAAATATGTATTATATATATATTAATTATTTAATATGAAGTGGTTATAATTAATTATTAAGATAAGCTCAAATTCATTTATTTTATCATGATAGGTTGCCAGAACAGCATCATGCAACATGGATTTTAGGAAATTAGTTAAGGGTAAATATGTATAATTGTTAACCTGGTGGAACCAATGGCATTTTTATTGAAATTTTCCAACAAACATTTCCAGAGAGTTGATGAAGTCATTCATATTTATGTTATGCCATGAGGTGTCTGGTATTTAAATTTTTAAATGCCATGAAAGGGTCTGTTATATAAATATCTGACTGCCATAAAAGTGTCTACAATATTTCTAATGGTTAAAGATTGCTCATCCAGACATTATTCTAATAAACACACTGACAGCAATGTTAACAAAACAACAAATGTGTAGCAAACCAAACCCAGTCGACAAAACTTTTATTGAAAGCATAACGTCACACCTAACAAATAATGAAATAAATATCTTTATTCCATTCTAAGAAAAAGTCTATTCTAAAAAGCATTGCCTCATCATATTGTCGAGCCGTATTGTTATACTCTTGGGTGTGATAGCCATTATACCACTTACAGTTAATCCCCTCAGCAATGTAACAGTTTTACTGTTTGGGAGCAGAGATGTATAACACTATCTGAAGTAATGTGAACATTGTGAGATAAAAACTGTACATATATCTCATTGCCATGGTGAGAGCAAACATGTGTACTGTTCGGATTTAATATTCTTACTTTCTGTGGGCTTGGAATATCACACATTTTTCATTAATAAACAAATAACTAAAAACAAAAACCACAACTTTTTATGTCTTTAATGAACAAAATGTGAAAAACCACTGTCTTTTTGGAAAGCAATTATTAATGATTAATGATTTCGTTTTAATAAATAGTAACCATGTGTAGAAATACCACATCTGGTGTCCAGTTTAATTGTTCTAATCAGATTTAGCATTGTTTTTATAAGAGGCAAATGAAAAAAAAAGAAAAAAAAAATAATTGCCAATAGGTAGACTGATAGATGGATGGATAGTCCTTTCCAGAATTAAGCATGTGTCTCCAGCTGCCTCCTTATGAAAAATATGAAATTATGGGCACACACGGAACATGCATTTCTCAGCAGTAGTAATGCAATAGAGACTAAAATTGAAACAAAATACGTAATAGGTAACAACGCACACACACAAAAATACCATTTGTTACATTTTGCAAAGCTTCTTAATATCACCTATCTCAGCAAACAAATATGGGGATTCACTTAAACCATATGGCCATATTGTGTTATACCTACCACTACTTCAGTTCCAAAATGGGTGGGTCCTACACTCATTTTAACATGCGAGACATATTAAATAGTACAAGTGCTAAATTAACTAAGGTGTATTTAATTAATCTGTTGTAAGAGCATTGTGAATATATATATATAATGTAAAATGAATGTGATAAAAATCACAATAAAAAAAAAACAGTGTCAAAACTAAGCAATCAAAATGATAGTGCTTTGATGTATACACTCACAATGCATATCATATATCTGCTCTATATTAAATAAAAAATATTATTAAAGAGCCATTGTTATCCGAATCCTCCAGATCAAAAGGAATCTGGTCTAGACTACAAACAAAAAGAGAATTGGTGGCACACCCAGAACATGCATTTCTCAGGAGTGGTGCTGCCATAGAAATCAAAATGTATACAAAATATAGTTTAAGGAACAGAACACGCAAAAATACAGTTTTAAATTCTACAAGGCTACTTAAAATGACCTATCTTAGAAATGAAATATGGAGATTCAGTTCCACCATATGGCCATATAGTGTTAAGCCCACCACTACACCAGAGTACCCCAATGTCGGTGGATCTTACACTAATTTAAACATGGGAGACAAATTAAATAGTGCAAATGCTATATGAAGTAAAATGTATGTAAGAGCATTGTGATTGCATTATACCAACAGATTAAATAAATGCACTTTAGTTTATTTAGCACTATTTAATTTGTCTCCCACATTTAAATTAGTGTAGGACATACTGATATTTGGGTACTCTGGCATAGTGGTTGGCTTAACATGGTATGACCATATTGTTGAACTGAATCTCCATATTTTTTTGCTGAGATGGATGATTTTAAGTAGCCGAGAAAACATTTAAACTATGTTTGTGTGTGCGCGCTGTTCCTTAATCAGCTGTCTCCATATGAATCAGACTTTTTGGTACAATGATACAAAACTGTATGAGAATGCTGATTTGTCATCCTGCTCAGTGCTACTTTAACCGTATGTCCTCATTCAAACTGAAGATTAATATGCTTGCCATTTCATTTTAACAGCTGTGGTACACTTTCCTTTCTATATTATATTCTGCCTGATTTATGAACCATTTAAATAGCTTTGGAGCTCATTCCTATCTATATAACATTACACATGATTTAGTAACTGTTAATAGCATTAGCACAATCAAAGTCACTGGTCATAATCCCATGGTTCCAGATACAAACTGTCATGGAACTACCACTCATTCTGTCTGTTAGTTCAGAGAGGAATCTAGTTGTTGCCTTTTATTTTATAGCTGTGTCGTGAGATGTCTTCATCCTCTACTGATTAGATTTAGATCCCGTAGGAATGGTTGCATTAAAGTTCATCCATGATGGAGAAATATTCTCATTACACTTTAATACTGTCTTTAAAAAATCTGTTGACTTTATTCACCCATTTACAGCCAAGGAAAATCATTATATTATGTCTAAAAGCGCATTACATTAAACACACTCTAAATAAAATTTTATACACTATTGGCAGGCGCAAAATCTGCAGCAATGAGTGTGTCATGGAACTCTGACTGTGAGAATCATAAGTTCTTTCAAATGTTTTTATTAATTAATTTTTAATAATAACAAAAATAAAACAAAAAATTAATAATAATAATGGAATAATTGTAACTAATATCATTTGATACTATACATTAACATATACAGTATCTCACAAAAGTGAGTACCCACTCAAATTTTTGTAAATATTTTATTATATCTTTTCATGTGACAACACTGAAGAAATGACACTCTGCTACAATGTAAAGTAGTAAGTGTACAGCCTGTATAACAGTGTAAATTTGCTGTCCCCTCAAACTAACTCAACACACAGCCATTAATGTCTAAACCATTGGCAACAAAAGTGAGTACACCCCTAAGTGGAAATGTCCTAATTGGGCCCAATTAGCCATCCTGCCCCCCCCGACGGTGTCATTTGACTCGTTAGTGTTACAAGGTCTCAGGTGTGAATGGGGAGCAGGTGTGTTAAATTTGGTGTTATCGCTCTCACACTCTCTTATACTGGTCACTGGAAGTTCAACATGGCACTTCATGGCAAAGAACTTTCTGAGGACTATAAGAAGATTGCCAAGACCCTGAAACTGAGCTGCAGCTTGGTGGGCAACACCATACAGCGGTTTCACAGGACAAGTTCCACTCAGAACAGGGTTCGCCATGGTCGACCAAAGAGTGCACGTGCTCAGCTTCATATGTAGAGGTTGTCTTTGGGAAGTAGACGTTTGAGTGCTGTCAGCATTGCTGCAGAGGTTGAAGGGGTAGGGGGTCAGCCTATCAGTGCTCAGACCATAAGCCACACACTGCATCAAATTGGTCTGCATGGCTGTCATCCCAGAAGGATGCATCTTCTAAAGATGATGCACAAGAAAGCCTACAAACGGTTTGCTGAATACAGGCAGACTAAGGACATGGATTACTGGAACAATGTCCTGTGGTCCGATGAGACCAAGGTAAACTTATTTGGTTCAGATGGTGTCAAACACGTGTGGTGGCAACCAGGTGAAGAGTACAAAGACAAGTGTGTCTTGTCTACAGCCAAGGTGGTGTGATTGTCATGGTCTGGGCCTGCATGAGTGCTGCCGGCACTGGGGAGCTACAGTTAATTGAAGGAACCATGGATGCCAACATGTACTGTGACATACTGAAGCAGAGCATGATCCCCTCCCTTTTGGAGACTGGGCCGCAGGGCAGTATTCCAACATGATAACGGCCCCAAACACACCACCAAGACGACCATTTTTTGCTAAAGAAGCTGAAGGTAAAAGTGATGGACTGGCCAAGCATGTCTCCAGACCTAAACCCTATTGAGCATCTGTGGGGCATCCTCAAATGGAAAGTGTGGGAGCGCAATGGCTCTAACATTCACCAACTCAATGATGTCATCATGGAGGAGTGAAAGAGGACTCCAGTGGCAACCTGTGAAGCTCTGGTGAGCTCCATGCTCATGAGGGTTAAAGCAGTGCTGGAAAATAATGGTTACCACACAAAATATTGAAACTTCAGCCCAATTTGGACATTTCCACTTTTATTGCCAATTGTTTAGACATTAATGGCTCTGCGTTGAGTTAATTTGAGGGGACAGCAAATTTACACTGTTATACAGGCTGTACACTTACTACTTTACATTGTAGCAGAGTATAATTTCTTAACTGTTGTCTCATGAAAAGATTTAAGAAAATATTTACCAAAAATATGGGGGGTGTACTTACTTTTGTGAGATACTGTGCATACATACACACACACATATATCCAACTCCTTGTCTGATTAACCATATTTGCACTTGCTACTTGTCACATTCATTCCCTTCTTCCACTTTTTTTCATTGCCCTCCCTCAGTGGCGTCACTAGGGGGGGGCAGAGGGGGCCATGCCCCCCCCTAGATCAGGCTGTGCCCCCCTTTGTGCCCCCCCAAATGAAAGTTACTGCTCCCTGGGCTTTATGTTCCCTCAGACTGTAACAGCCTGTTACAGTCTGAGGGAATTCAGGCCATGGGGGCTCACTGCTGGAGAGAGGTGCTGGGGGGCTGTGGATAGCTGCTGTGTGCTGGAGCAGCTGCATTGAGGCTGCTGGGGGCGGGAGGGAGCACTGACAGTCTCCCTTCCGAAATCCCAGCAGCTTCCCCTGCACACAGGCTCCAGCTTTGCCTCGCGTGTGCAGGCTCCGCCCTGCGATGATAGCTCCACCCACACATCCGCCTCCCACCCAAGCCCCGCCCCCACAGTAAAGCAGCAGACCTTGCTGCCGTCTGAAGAGGCCATAGTATAGTGAGTATTACCAAACAATGTGAGGATTAAACATGCAACTATTTTATCATACTTATATAAAATACATAATCAAAATACACTACACATTAAATGATTTTGTATTGCATTGTGTTAAAATATCACATGGAGCAACATTTCAGTGTAATGTTTGTAATGTAATAAGAATCAGCTAGTTCATGAATAGTTTTGCAAGAAACCACAGTGTTCTGACTATTCATTTTATTTTAAACAACTTGGTGGCCCTACCTGGACTGGTTGCCATATGCATCATACAGGAAATGACTGCCATGTTTGATAGCCACTGTAATAATGACAAATAATGCTTCTGGTGCGGTCTAAAGCAGAAAGGAACTGTGTGCGCCACAATAACTAATATTATTTAATTTGCTCTGTATAAGTCACATTGTATGCCCATTACAAATGTTGAGGATGTTTTTTTCTGTTCTCTATAAAGGATTAGGAGGCTAATGGAAAGCAGTGACCTCTGTTTATATATAATGATAACCTAATAACCTATTAAGATAATGCTAGTCCTTCATTTGTATCCTCCACCCTGGGAAAGGGAGGATATGCTATAAATTACTAATTTTCCAGTAATGATAATTTCAGCTCTTCTTGGAACCCCTTTTTTATGTCTGAGACTGTAGAAGTGCACTCATATTGTAACAACTTTTGTCAATTATGCTGAATAACGACTTTTGCTATGAATTTCACCTGCACAGTAGAAAGAAGGAACACTCTAGGTCTGTGTGTGTGTGTGTGTGTGTGTATGGACTCAGCAGTCTGTGTGTGTGTGTGTGTGTGTATGGACTCAGCAGTCTGTGTATGTGTGTATGGACTCAGCAGTGTGTGTGTATGTGTATGGACTCAGCAGTCTGTGTGCCTGTGTGTGTGTATGGACTCAGCAGTCTGTGTGTCTGTGTGTGTATGTACTCAGCACGCTGTGTGTCTGTGTGTGTATGGACTCAGCAGTCTGTGTGTGTGTATGGACTTAGCAGTCTGTCTGTGTGTCTGTGTGTGTGTGTATGGACTCATCCGTCTGTGTGTGTGTATAGACTCAGCAGTCTGTGTTTTGTGTATGGACTCAGCAGTCTGTGTGTATGTCTGTGTGTGTATGGACTCAGGAATCTGTGTGTGTGTGTGTGTGTGTATGGACTCAGCAGTCTGTGTGCCTGTGTGTGTGTATGGGCTCAGCAGTCTGTGTGTGTGTATGGACTCAGCAGTCTGTGTGTCTGTGTGTGTGTATGTACTCAGCATGCTGTGTGTCTGTGTGTGTATGGACTCAGCAGTCTGTGTGTGTGTGTATGGACTCAGCAGTCTGTCTGTGTGTGTGTGTATGGACTCAGCAGTCTGTGTGTGTGTGTATAGACTCAGCAGTCTGTGTGTGTGTATGGACTCAGCAGTCTGTGTGTATGTCTGTGTGTGTATGGACTCAGGAGTCTGTGTGTGTGTGTGTGTGTGTGTGTGTGGACTCAGCAGTCTGTATGTCTGTGTGTGTATGGACTCAGCAGTGTGTGTGTATGTGTATAAATCAGCCTGTGTGCACGTGTATACATCAGCCTGTGTGCATTCAGGAGTCTGTGTGCATTCAGAAATCTGTGTGTGTATTCAGCAGTCTCTCTGTGTTCGTATTCAGTGTACTGTGTGTATGTACTCAGCAGTCTATAAATAATTAAAATTTTAATTCCTGTGAGTTGTTGTGTAGGAAGGGCCCCAGTACACTGCTTTGCCCGGGGGTACATAACGCTGTTAAGATGGTACTGCTTGTGTGTGTCAGTGAGCTTCTATTTAGTGAGCTTGTCTTTAGTGAGCTTGTGTGTGTCCCTGAACTTCTTTGTAGTGAGCCTTGTGTTTATACAAGTGAGTTTGTCTGTATTAAGCTTGTGTGTGAGTCAGAGTTTATCTGTCAGTGAGCCTATTTGCGCATGTCAGTGAGCTTGTGTGCTCACTGTACAATATATATATATATATATATATGTATATATATATATATATTGACTTGTAGGAATGGCATACATTTTTTTCCAGGGCTGCTTTGGATTCCCAGTTTGGCTCTGCCAGAGAGTGCGCTTTACCGCTGAATCATCTGTGTGAGCTGCTGCACACTTTAGCCCTGTTACACGCGCTGCTATTGACAGGTACTTGTAGTCTAGAGATTGGGACAAGGGGTATATACTCAGCTATCTGTATAATACTATAGTGCTGTTCTCTGCATAATACAGATCTGTGTGTGTATAATATTCCGGGATAGTCAGTGCTTCCTGTATAGTGCTGCTCTTTGTATAATACAGGTCTGTGTTTGTATAATATCCCGGGACAGTCAGTGCTCCCTGTATAGTCCTGCTCTCTGTAAATACAAGTCTGTGTGTATAATATCTTGGGACAGCCAGTGCTCCCTGTATAGTCCTGCTCTCTGTAAATACAAGTCTGTGTGTATAATATCTTGGGACAGCCAGTGCTCCCTGTATAGTGCTGCTCTCTGTATAATACAGGGCTATGTGTATAATATCCCAGGACAGTCAGTGCTCACTGTATGGTGCTGCTCTCTGTATAATACAGGACTGTGTGTATGATATCCTGGGAAAGTCAGTGCTCCCTTTATAGTGCTGCTCTCTGTAAATACAGGTCTGTGTGTATAATATCCTGGGACAGCCAGTGCTCCCTGTATAGTGCTGCTCTCTGTATAATACAGGGCTATGTGTATAATATCCCAGGACAGTCAGTGCTCACTGTATGGTGCTGCTCTCTGTATAATACAGGACTGTGTGTATGATATCCTGGGAAAGTCAGTGCTCCCTTTATAGTGCTGCTCTCTGTATAATACATGTTTGTGTCTGTATAATATCCTGGGACAGTCAATGCTCCCTGTATAGTGCTGCTCTCTGTATAATACAGGTCTGTGTATAATATCCCGGGACAGTCAGTGCTCCTTGTATAGTGCTGCTCTCTGTATAATACATGTATTGAGTTTTGCAGTGGGTGTGGTAAACTTTCAATGTAATAATTGATAGCTGTGCTGCAAAATGTCCTTGGAATTGTAAATGTTGGCAACTATGGCACTATATCAAAGTGAAATATATTTGTTTTTTAATAATCCCTGGTGGAAAATAATGAATCCTCCACCATGGATTATTAAAAAAAAAAAAAAAACACATTGTGTCGGGGGCGGGGCTTAACATGCGGCGGGGGCGTGGTCCAACTGCGGCGAGGGCGGGGTTAAATGTGCCCCCCTACTTTTGTTCCTGGCCCACCATGTGCCCCCCCTAAAAATGAATCCTAGAGGCGCCACTGCCCTCCCTAATATGGCTGACACATGTTCTACAATAAAGTTACACACACACAAAAAATAAAAGTCACATGACCTAAAAAAAGTCACATGACCTAAACAAAGTCA